GTTGGAGTGCTCAGCAACTCTCTCCAAATTGTTCTGATTGCTCCTTTAATCTCCAGCTCCCTGGAACCCTTGGATGCACTCAATGTGGTTAAGAGGTGTCTTACTGGTTCTCAACCAGACATTTTTTTTTTTTTAAACCTGAGACGAGGGTCTTACTGTATTGCCCAGGCTGATCTTGAACTCCTGGTCTCAAGTGATCTCCCTGCCTCAGCCTTCCTAGTAGCTGGGACTACAAGTACGTACCACATGCAATTCAAAGTGAGTACATAGTGTTGGTTTTTAAATTTTTAATCTTATATACTTGTGTAACAACTCTATGACTGACCCATGGTAGGTTTCCAAATATATTTATTAGTTGGAAACATGGATAAACATTTCCCTCAGCTAAATAATTAGGTAAGATTTCTTAGGAAGACAGAGGAAAAGAAAGGGAAAGAACAAGAGGTGGATCTGGACGGTGTAACAAGAATAAAGAGATCAGCAATAATCACCTATGTTTGTTTAACACTTCTTAGTTTACAAAACACCCAGAATATGCTAGCCAGCGTATTTGATTCTCACAATAACCTGCCAGGGAGACATTATTACCTCCATTAAAATTAACTTGATTAGTCAAAGAGAAGTAATGTCTGTCAGTTCTTTAATCAAATTAGCCTTTCAGGGCTAATGTTGGATTTTGCCAAGGTAGTTAATGAGATGTGAATTAAATCCCCTGAATAGAACTAGATTTGTTGCTTCTCTGGTAAGCTATAAAACAGAGTCCAAACCCTTTAAAGGTAATGGGACGTGTATTCAAATTTTGTTTTCCTGTTCACACAGCTCTTATACACAACCCAGTTTATGAGGAAATGGGTAGTTATCCAAATAAAAGGATTATGCCACCCACCATGCAAAATGTCCCTGTAGAAGACTTGTAATTACCAGAATTGCTCACATGAAAGACCTTGTGTACGTACCAACACTCACCTGACACCAACCAGAGGGGCGGACAGGGATTGCCTCATCTTTGTGGCTGAACAACTTCCTGAAACTCGGTTTCCTTGGCATTAACCTTCACCTACGTTCCAAGTCAGTTGTATCTTAAACTCATTCAGTGGAACCCCAGAGATAAAGCTGATGCTGGTAACCTGAAAATAAATGTTACTGGGGACAAGGAAAGGGGATTGCTCAGTGAGATTTAGTTCAGTTTCCTCCAATGGGAAAAGCAGGATCCATGAGAAGAAAACTGCTCATGGCATTGGAGCCCGTGGAGCAGGTGGGGGTGGGGAGGCACTAGGGCTCAGCAAGACACATGCCATGTGTGCCATTTAAGTGTTGCTGTCATGTTTCTTTGAAGATAAAACACCATCAATTGTAAAGTGCACTATGATTTGTTCTGCTTTTTTATCACTTAGAAATTTTATTGTGTACATATTAGGATTTTTTAGATTTCCCCTCAGTCTCAGGTGAGCTCACCAAATATTCCTTGCCCATTTAAAGCAAAGAAGGGTTGTTAATGGATGCTTTATGCAGCTGATAGGCACCACAAGCGATTTATGGTTCAAGGAAATCCACCTGTCTTGAAGTTTGTGTGTCTGGGCTCTCAGTGGCAAGAGGGGTCACCTGGTCAAAGGGATAGGATGAGGGTAGGGATCAGGTCGGGAAGGGTGGCAGGGTGGGGACCAGGTGCAGGCCTCCCTGCCTCCGCTGGAGCAGCAGGGCAGCTAGAAGCTGAAGGCGCCAAGGCAATTGTCAGCTGCCATCAGTTGTGAGATGCATCTTAATTTCAGAGAAAGGTGGGAAAGTGTTCATCTTAGAATCAGTGAATTGGAGGGGTCCTCTGAGGACTTTCTGAATTAACATAATGTCTGAGTTAAGAATATTTTAAAGAAACATTATTTTCAAGTACATATGTTACTGACTGCATAGGAAAAGATCCTTAGGGACCTCCTTTATGAATATGA